TATAGTGCTCTACGTCCCGCTCCTTTTTAATAAGGGCACTACTATGGGCACTTAGCACTTGGGAGAAGAAAGGGAAGAGGGATGGGAGGCCTCCCAGTACTAGGAGGGGGGCAGGGGGAATTAGGCAATTTTGCTGCGAGGAGGTCGCCTAAGCCCTCCTCGAGGAGCATTGCGTGGTTAAAAAGCACATGTGAAAAATCACAGAGGTACTTGTCCGAAAAAGTCGCACTGGCCAGAAATCGAACCACGGTCTCCTGCGTGCCAATCCACGACCTAGCCGACTGAGCTATCGCGCGCTTATTTGTATATAAATATACATATGGGCTGCCTTTTATGTACATAGTGGTTAGGAATTCAACATTCGTTGTAATATTTTTAAATTCGCTACAAACGTGAATAAACTTTACTTAATGAGTTAACCTTCTCTTTCTTATTAAGTGTGATCGTTAGACGGATGTATAGTGTTAAAGATATTATTCTTTTTATAAAACTCTTCCTCACGATTTAAATTAGACTGCAATTAAAATTATAAAATAAGTTTAGTGTATAGTCCTAATTTTAGAAACTACTTAATCGTTTTTGTGCATTTGCTTATGTTTCCTAACAGTATGTGTAAGCACTCTTTTTGTTTCTCCAACATACTCAGAAAGACAGACGCTGGAAGTGAACTTAAACATTGTTCAACATCAGTGTAAATTATAGTGATGCTGACTTTTGATTTCATTAATTAAAAAAACTATGTTTAAGAGTTTAGCGCTCAAAACGAAACAATTGTAATTCTTTCCACTGTACACGTCCCCCAATCACAGCGCTCTGCGTGCCCATACATCAGACCAGGTGCTCTTAACTACTCCACAGTCCGGCTTGCTTCAAAGGTTCAGCTTGAGAGCTTTATTATTTTTTACGTTCTGCTCTTGGCCTAGCTTTCTTGCTTAAAAGCATGAGAACTTTCTATGTTTGGATTGAGTCATCTGGCGCCTTTTCGTTTAATTTGTACTAAGCTACAGTGTATCCACAAAAAACAATTATTGCTTTTTAGTTGCACATAGAATTCTTGTGCAGGGCAAATTTTTGTGTATGTCAACTTCATCAATCCTACTCCTTCAAACTCCAGCCACTTTCTGACTACAAATACAGTCTATTCTATCTTTCATAAACATGTCTTTCGAGCCAGATCTGTGGGGGGAAAGAGTTGATATTTTGAGCCACGTGGCTGTGGTTTAGATGGCCGACTTAGCTTCCTGTCTACATGGAGCAGACGTGATTAGCGCACTGGTATGTCAACTGTCTTTTTTATCAGCTTTGGCTGTAGTAGTGTGCTCTCGCTCAGCTTTCTTAGCCCTTGGCCTTTACTGCTGCCTCTATACATATACATAAACTTTTCTATATCACTTGGCTCACTTTTAATCATTTATCTTAGGCTGTAGTAGTGTGCTGCCTCTCTCGCATACTTTTTACAGCGATTAGCTTGCTTTCAGCCTGTAACTGTATTGTGGTTTTTACACACATACAGCGTGTGGCTCGCTTAAAAAGTTACAACCAGATTTTAAGACTAGTCTGCACATGTATGTGCCTACTTATTCAACTACAGTGCTGGTACTCCTCACGACATTTTGTTGCTACTGCAAGTCATCTTGTGCTCACGCATTGCTGAAACTGTAGCTGCTGCGGGCCACATTGCTCTCGCTTCACTAGTTGCTGCTGCTGCGGGTCACCTCGTGCTCACTACATCAGCTGCTGCTGCTGCAGGCCTCCCAGTGCTTGCTTCGCTGGCGTTGTAGCCACAACGGGCTGCCACGTGTTCTCCCGCGTGTTGCCATAGGTGTCGGACAAACAAGAAGCCACCATTATGAGTAGCTAACAGTTCACGTCATCGTCATCAAGCACACACACACATCGTGCATTGCTCGACTAAATAAAGTATGTGTGACGTTTAGTTACCCTAACAAAGACTTTGAATTATAATAAACAGGTTCATTGCGCTTAGTAGTCAATAATCAATTTAATAATATTAGCATAAAATCAAAGAATTCATTTATTGTATTTTCTTAGTTTTTAAGTAAAAGCGTTTTCTATTAGTTATGTATACGTGAATTCAACTTCAGAGACCGTTTGTACTTTTGTAGCTACCTATTTGTTTTATTTTACTCTAATTGTTTGTCTTTGTATTCACTTATCTTCAATATGGGTAAGTTTCATGAAAGTTAAGCGATTATTTGATATCTCTAGACACTGCAATAAATAACCCTGGTACGGGAACTAATCCCAACTCTTTAATAGCATTCCACAATGTTACTTCGCTCCCCAAGATTAGAATTTTCTATTTTACAGGTTAATACGAGTATTGGGAAAATTTTCCGGACATCTTAAGAGCATTGGCTCACCAAAAAATTGAGGTCCCTTCTATTGTTAGATATCACCATTTAAAGACACACTTGAAGGATGAGGCTTCTAATCTAATTAAGAATATTCCTGTGACTGAGCAACATTATACCCAAGCATGGGAAACCTTACTTTTATATCATGATAACAACCGTCGTTTAGTTACTCAGTATACATATTTAATGATGAACTGTGAGCCAATGAGGAATTACTCTTGCCCTGAAGTCAAAAGGATATCAAAGGAAATTTTGAGTTCTCTTGACTCTCATATATCTCTTGGTAGCAACTCTAACACCCTTCCCCTCCCTACCTTGCAACAGTTGCGTGACTTTATCATGACACAAATCATTACATTTGAAGCCTGTACTCAAAAACAATTCAAAAATAAATGGCAATCCTTTCGATCTAGTAATCCTCATTTGAAGTCTAATAAGTCTTCCTTTGTTCACCAATCTAGTAATGAGAGCAAGTCGCTTTACCCTTGTTGCTAACAAGAAAACTTTCTGCTTAACTGTGAGCAATTTAAATCTCTAACATGGGGAAACAAAAAGAAACTTCTAAGGGATAAGTGCCTTTGCCTTAACTGTTTGAGTTCGCATAATTTTAGTTCCTGTACATCTCACAAACAATGCTCTCATTGCAAGTTAAAACATAACATATTACTCCACAGGGATGAAACTAACACACGAAGAAAGTCGGTTAACACTAGGAGTAAAAAAAATAGATTCAAAGAATCCTGACAGTTCTTCTCAGGTCAATGTCAATACACATTCCCTTCTTCTGCGACAGTGTCCCAAAGTCTTGCTTGCCACTGCTAGGATTTATGTTTCAAGTCCTAATGGGTCACGTTTTCTTGTGCGTATTTTGATACATCAATGCTCTCAGAAATCGTTAATATCTAGGTCTCACGCTGACCTCGTGAAATCACAGCATAGGAATGTTAGCAACTCTCTCTCTCTCCAGTGTTAGCGGACTGGTGTTAGCTACTTTTAAGTCTTCAGTCGTTCTGGCTATTAGACCTCACTTTGAATCTATATTTAGTTGCGAAGTTGAAGCTCTGGTTGTTTCAAGAATCTCTTCTTATTAATCACCTACCAGTTGCAGTTTATTAGATTTAACTAGATTTCAAGGGTCGACTTTTGCGCATCTCTACTTTCACTCCCTAGATAAGATAGATATGTTACTAGATGCCACTATTCATGCATCTATAATAAATAGCGAGGTATGGAAAGGTGATGCTAACCAATTTATAGCTTCCTCCTCGAAATTTAGTTGGCTCTTATCTAGTCCCACTTGTATTAAACTGAGTAGTACTATCCAAGATTTACTTGTACAAATAAATACTAAACTCACTCGTTTCAAGGAATAAGAGCAAAGATTTTGGAAAGTTGAGGAACCTCCTTCCCCCAAATGTAAGCTTGGTCAAGATAAATTACAGTGTAAGGATTTTTCATGAACACATACACTCGTGATTCATCAGACCATTTTCTCGTACCCTTACTTTTTAAAGGCGATCCGCTTGAGCTTGTTGAACAGAAAAAAAATCATTCCGAAGTGCTTTAGCTATTAACAAGCTCCTGGAACGCGAATTCCTAAATAACGACAAACTTTATCAAGCTTATATTCATTATATGCGTGAGTATTTAGAATTCTAGCACATGAGACTAGTAGATAATCCTGATGAAGCACTCTGTTTCTTATCTAATCACTGGGTTCTTTAATACATCAGTACTATTGCCAAACTAAGAGTAGTGTTCGATGGCTCAGCTTAACTGATAGGAGACTTATTGCTCAATTCGATTCTACACACTGGTGAGAATTTGGTTGCAAGTCTCTTTAATATTATCATCATATAGCGTTTTTATCCATTTGTCTTTATATCTGACATTTAAAAAAATGTTCAGACAAATCCTTGTTCAACGTAAAGACCAAAGGCACCAAGTCATACTCTGGACACCCAGCGAATCTTCATCCATCACTGTTTATTTACTCATGACCATTTCTAAAGGCTTAGTTAAATCACCGTTCTTAGCCACTTGAGTACTTCGACAATTAGCGCTAGAACATGAAACCTCATATCCCGTAGCCGCGAAGATAGTTCACGAGGAGTTTTATGTTGACGACTGCCTGTCAGGTGGTTACACTAAGACTCAAGCCAGGCTTAAATGCAACCAACTTTTAGAGTTACTAAGAAAGGGTGGCTTTCAACTTCTTAAGTGGTCATCAAACAGTTTCTCGCTATTATCTGATTAGCTTGCGACATTGCTCGCAAACGATCCCAGGTCATTAAGGAAGGGCGATAAAAACATTTCTATATTAGGGTTACGTTGGAATCCCAGATCCCAGAACTGATATTTTTCAGCTTTGCATAACTCCTATTGAGAGCAACACTATATGGACTAAGCGCTCGTTACTTGCGTAACTCACTAAGATTTTTGATCCAATGGGATGGGCCTCTCCCATAGTAGTTTTTGCTAATGTCCTTTTTCAGTCCCATTGAATTTTAAAAATATCCTGGGATACAGCGTTACAGGCTAATGCACTAAAAACTTGGGTTGGTTGGTTAGACGAACTGAACAAGCTAAATTGAATTAGGATTCCTCGCTGGAACTTCTACACTCCCGTGAAGTCAAGATTCATGGATACATTGATGCATCAAAAAATACATATGCGGCAGTCGTGTATCTACGCGTAGTCTGACATTGTTCGGTAAACGTCTCCTTGCAAACCGCTAGAACAAAGGTAGCACCAATGAAGTTTAAAAGTATACCTCTTCTAGAGTTGTGCGCTGTTCAATGACTGTACACGCTTGTAAAGCATTTCCAGGACATAACTGTTCTTGACAGCGTAGCATTGCACTTATGGTCTGACTCTAGGAACATTCAGTATTGGCTTAAGTCCATACCCTCTCGTTGTCCAATTTTTATTGCTAACAGGTGTTCCGATATTCACACTTTAGTCCCAACCGATACGTGGCATTAGGTTTCGTCGAAGAAAAATCCAGCAGATGTGGCTTCTCGTGGAATTATATCTGAACAGTTGCTCGAGCAGCAGCTCGGGTTCCAGGGACCCAGACTTCTTCATAAACTTTATTCAGTCTACCCCGCTTTTAAAGTCAGTTAGCTCGATAGTTAAATAACAGACTGGGTTAAGGTTCATGTGATTACGAACGCATACCAGGCAAATAAAAGTTTGCTGATGTTATAACTAAGGGAATTAAGTAAAGGCAGTTCAAATTAGAAGTACCTTGTGAGAGTAGTGGCCTACTACCGTAAATCCTTTTAAACGTGCTATCATAAGATTACTGGTAAGACTAGCTAATTTGCTGAACTTTGAAACTTTGAAAAGTATTTGATTTTTTTTCACTATTAATAACTATTGCAAGTGGTGAGCATACCACATTTTATTTTTAATAAATTCATAACGATTTTACATACGTCCCCTTTGATGTTCATTCATACAAATTCCTGTCCATCAACGCTGGGACTATATTCAACATTAGTATAAATTATTCTAATGCTAACTTTTTTTTCAAATAATCATAAAGATAATATTTAAAAGCTTAGCACTCAAAACGGAGCAATTTTAATTCTTTCCGCTGTACACGTCCACTAATTACAGCGGTCTGCGCATCCATGCATCAGGCGAGGTGCTCTTGACTGCTCCACAGTCAGTCTGCTCCGACTTTTCGACTTGAGAGCTTCACTATTTTTAACGTTCTACTCTTGGCCTCGCTTTTTCGCCTGAAAGCATAAGAATTATCTATGTTTGGATCAAGTTGTGTGGCACCTTTTCGTTTAATATTCGTTTCGTTCGTACCAAGCTGCAGTGTATCTACAAAAAATAATTACTGCTTTTTAGTTGCATATAGAAGTGTTATGCAGTGCAAATTTTTCTGTATGTCAACTTCATCAACCTTCTTCCTTCAAGAATCCATCCACTTTCTCACAACAAATACAGTTCACTTGATCTTTTGTAAACAAACATGAGTTTCCGTTGTGTGTAAATTTAATCATACACATTTATGAAAAGGTTTTTTTATTAAAGAAAGAACTAGAACACTATACAGTTCTAAACTGTTTTAACTGTATAATAAATTTTTTTTTCTTACTTGTTCTAAGCTGTTTTGAAGAAAAGATCACTCAAAATTTGCACTAATGTAGCGTATTTCAAGGTCTTGCTTGTGTACTAAAATAGTTTATTAAAAATGGATGTTTTAGATAACTAAAGTTATGTATTTTATATGTTTGTTGATGATAGAAATTGGGTAATTATTCTCTAGCAGTAACTTTCTTACAGTATTGTTATTAGTATTACGAAATTATTAATGTAGTTATCAAGTATCATGATAAACTTTATTGTAAATTATAATATATTTTAAGGATAACGGTTGGTTTGACTAAAAATTGAATATACGGATTCTAGGTGCTTCCTTCTTATACTAATAAAAAAAATCTGTAAGTTTTTTAGTGTATGTGTTATGTAAAAAAAATTGATGCTGTTACATAGAAAAGAGGCGTACAGTTATGTGGCAATCATTATTTATAAGACAGGTTTCTTCGCAATGTATTATAACTAAATCTACAAACAAGGGGCGTATAAGTAATTTTATGAGTGTGACCCAAGTTTGCTTCTAGAAAAGATTATTAAAATCTTCCTGAAGTGAAAAAAAGTTTTCGATTACCTTTAAAAAGTGAAAAAATGATGATAGTTAGAGTAAAAGAAAAATAAGCCAGATCCCCTGAGAGTGTACTAGTTACATCAATGCTAAAACTTCTAGCATTTTTGTATATTTCGTCTTTTAATTATTTCTCATTCTATATTTCATCTACTGCACGTCTTTTCAAAAACTTTGATGTTACCAGCGAAGGGTAAAATTTTGTCTCAAAGTAGTTAAAGGCATCCAAGAAAAAAAATTAGTTTTATTGACATCTGTCAATGTGATCTTTGTGGATTAGGACTAATTGGGGACAAATACTTATTTAAACTCCAACTCACTTATTCACCTCATTTTTAATTACTAATCAATATGCCTATCTGAAAAAGAGTTCCTAATTCAGACACCACACCCAAAGTACTTTATTCTGATTCTAAACTTTATAAAACACATCTTAATATGTGATTTTTCCTCCATTACAAAGCTTTCTTTATGAGGACGAAAAATGGGCTTGATGAGCCACGTTGCAGTTAAATGACAGGTTATAATGGCTAAGCTTATGTCCCTAAATCTGGAACTAGAAATAAATTTTTAGTGGAGGGCTCTAGATAAAACTATTCTGAAGCATAAATGACCATCAATAAAAAAACGCTTTTCACTTACTTATGAGTCTTAAAGCACACTAATTAAAAGAAATATTACATCAGTTATTTACTTATTAATACTTATTGTAATAAATTCTGTATTTTTTTAGTGATTGAGATTTTGATCTTGCAAAACAACAATCGAATTATTTTCTGTACTATTTTTTCGGGAAAAAGCATTTTACTCACAGAGACCAATTATATTTGAGTAAATAAGGTAAAAATTCAAAAGTCAAAATATAAAAGTAAAGAAGAAGGTACAGAAATATGTAAAAAAAATGTTAAGGCTTGAAAGAAAACAGCTTAAGATAAAAGATAAGAAATTTATTAAAAGTAATATTTTTGTGCATTAAAGCACGTACTAGTATAAGAGTACAGAAGGAAATACCAAATAGTACAGAATATAAGTTATAGAATATGAGGTACGTAGTATTATATACTAGCAGTGCATGTATACGATGAAGGCTATAATAAAGAAGATTATGCAATCTAACATACTTATGATTCTAAAAAATTGGTTTAAATTAACATGGATACTGCTGATTTAACCAGGAGTGCAAACGTCTACTTTAATAAAATTGCATTGTGTAAAATTACTCACCTTTCGTCGATCTGTAATTTTTTCAGACATCTTATTAGCTTTGATAATAGCATATAATAATCCTTCTCCCTCTCCTCTTAATGCTGGACCCAGACACTCTGGGCGACGAATTAGCAGTCGAATGACTAAGTTTGCATTTTCTTCAACACTTTCACCTATTAATTACAAATATACTACTTACTTAAGTTAGTTAAATGCTTTGGAACATAAACAGTTCTTACTACAATGAGAAACGACTATAAAAATTGCCAATTATGTAAAAAAATATAATCCTTTTACTCTTTACAGTCTCTTAAACTGATTAATTTGCGTACGAACAGATCATCAAAACAGGCAGCAGTGAATACACTTTAAAGTTTAAAGTTAGTGAAGTAACTACTTAGTTACCACGAAAAAGCTGCCTTAACTCCGATTTTATAACATAATACTTAACAAGTTTAATCATAGAGAACTAGAGGACAAACTTGGGGCTATTTTCTAAGAAATATGCTTTCAATTATAAATTAAAATCCAAGCAATAGGCTAGTTAGTATTGGTTGACTTTATGTTTTTGATCTCTTTCTAGTTACTGTACGAAAATTGCCTTGAACAAATAAATTTACATTTTTGATATTGAACCAAAGTATATGAAATTACATAATTAATTTAGATATGTATGAATAAATAAAAAAAAATATATTTTTTAACTTTCGTAAAATTCATAGATTATATTTTCTGTAAGCTTACCGTTAACCCAAACGCAAAATCGTAAAAAATCCAGGTACCGTTCTCCTTCAACTGGATCCCAACCAAGATCAGGATAGCCTTTTTCTATTAGTTCAGAGTTTGATTGCAGACCACATCTGGATAAGTAGACAGCTATTTTTTCTAAATAATGCTCTCGAAGTGCAAGTGCTAACTCAGTATTTTCCATTAATGAAGAATATGCTACATCTAATGGTGTGGATCCACGCAATGATGGTCTTGATAGTAAAATATTACTATTCTCCAAAAGGAAGTCAAAATGGTCAAACATAGCTTTCTGATTCTGCCTGGAAGTCCGGCAAAAGTAGCAAAGGAATCGACAACAAGCAACTACCATTTCATGAGATGTGTCTTTTTCTTTAGCAGATGCTTCACCTCCGTCTGCTGTTTGAGCTTGAGCTTGTACATCAGACTGTGCTTGTGCTCGGCGACCTAAGGTATTTATCATGATAGCCATAACATTTTCATGGATTCGAAGAACACGAATAAGATCTGGATGTTGAAAGAATGTGTGATTATTAACTAATTTCCATAGCCGTTCTCGTACAAGTTCTTCTTCTTCTTGAGACATCTGCACTGGAAGAAGTGCACGGATTTGACTTAAGCCTATCCACATTTCAGCCACATCGTCTTTTGTTTTACAATTAATAACGTACGTTTTTTCTAAGGCTCTTATCAATTCTCCGACAGTATCATACTGACGCACTAGGAGACTAAACATTTCACGAACAAGCTTTGGAGTTTCAATTTGTGATTCTTCTGCCCAACTCACAATTGTAGATATAAGAACTTTTCTAAATATTTCTGAAAATATAATAAAAATTTTCCTTTCAACTACTTTAATACAAACAAAAAAAAATTTTTTTACCTTCTGGAGTTTTTCTTTCTAGTTCTGGCTCAGATCTTAGATTTTCTTCTAATTCTTTTACGTGATGGATAAAATTTATTAGTTTTTTAATCGGACCTTGCTGTTCTTTATCTCCGTCAATCTCACTAGCAGCGTCTTCAGCTTCTTGAAGAGCATGTAAACTTACGTATGACATTAAATTACTATGGAAGTCATTCATTTTAACAATCAAATCTTCACCACAAGGACAATTTTCAGGATCATCTTCTTCTATATTCTTAAAACTCAGAATTGCATTCATTTGCTCTCGTGGTGGACAACGGAATTCTCGAGTTTTCTTTGCTGCAACAGCAGAGGGCAAATCTGATTGTTTAATTTCGATGTAACGCCTTAACTGATCTGCTTGCAATTCACCAACAAAATCGTGACTAAATGCAATAATAGCTTCAACTCTATGACGTAATTGAATATCATTTAAATGATGCAGTAAATAGCACATTTGTAGTTTTGCTCCTTCTGCCATTTTCATATGCATTAAACCTTTGCGGTGCTCATCTTTACCTTCTACAAGATAGAAAAATTTAATAAATGGTTTGGGGACAAAAAATAAAAACTTATAATCTGTGTCTATAATAATTCATGAAAATTGAGTCATTACCTATATCAAAAACGGGATCCCAAGTCTCTGGATGTATCATTATAAGTAATTTTTCAATATCCTCATTTTTGAGCATTCCGACTAAGAAAAGTCGATCAACCAATTTGATAAGTGGTCTAAAACATTTTTTTAAATTTTTGGAAAAATTAAAAAATTAAAAATACAGAGCATAAAAAATGTAGAATTGCAAGCTTAGTGTCATCGCAATTGTGTAAAATCAAAAAAGTCATTATTTAACAGCTTATTTAGATGTTCAGTTGACCACTTAGAATCATAGAGAATTATGTTTTAGAAAATATTTGAGAATCTTTAGTTATTTTATATGGTGTGATAAAACTTTTTTTTTTAATTTTATATAGTTTTTCTGTATTCCAAGACTCAAAAACTTTGATCTCCAAAATGTTTAATTCTGAAGTAATACTTAGACCCATGTTTGTATATATAAAAGAAAACCTTCGTGCATACAGTCAACCTTTTTACTCCCACAGTACAAGATAACCGTTACTCACAAAAAAAGATTTTCATTGCTTCCACCAATAGGATCTCGATTGTGCACTTGATTTATTTCAACAGCTTCCGATAGTGCTTCCATAACGTAATCCCGTACAACACTTAAAGGAAAATACGGACTATAAAGGCTTCGTATGTTTTCAATACTTTGATTTTCCCTAAAAGAAGACAATGTTACTTGATATAAGAAAACAAGGTTGTTATCTACTATTAGAACAAGAAGCTTACCCGATATCAGTCATTTTCATTTGTGGCTTTACAGATTCTGTTTCAAGATACCTCAAACTATGCCGCATTTCCTCATTTTCATATAAATCTCTTAGCTCTTGACCTAATAGTACATTTTAAATAAATAAGGCTTGATATAAAAGAAATATTTTGGCATTGCAAGTTTAATCTGGAACTCAACTATAAAAATATTAACAATCACGCATAAGAAAAAAATTTTCTTTAATGCCAGATAATTAGGAATCACTTGAAAGTTTCTAAATAAAAATGTTAAATAGTTAATATTATGATTCATAGTTCCTAATACACGTCAAAGATTATTATGTACAAATACAAACAATTTCAGCTTCTCAGATTAACAAATGTCTTTCACAGTTAGAGTTTCAATTAATTTTATCAGTGTGTGCCCTATTTTATTGAAAGTCAATACAGATATTGTTAAAAAAGGACCAATATTACCTAATGGAATGATAAACTCATTTTTGCAAACTTCCATCGTTGTAGCATGAGATTCGAGGTGCAGAGCAATAAGTAAATCATAAAATCCTTGTCTTAGTGGTCCTGACATGTACTCGGCACGAATGGCGTACAATAACTGCTTTTGATCAACGTGAAGACATAAGGCATGAGCTGCCCTGTAGTTTGATTGGTAGCAAAGTGCTGCATATAAAGTCAACGTATGTGAATGAAAACTGGAAAAAAAAATTTTAATTCTCAAAATATTGGTTAAATTTTGGAAGAAAATCACATGACTTGGTCATATTTTCAATTATTAACTGAGAGTAGTATTATTCACAGGAATCTAGTAAATAGTAAAACAAGACAATAGGGTTTAAACCTTAAAAGCTTATCCATTTCTATAAGTTCAAGAATATCGATACACCTATCCTCTTCAGGTATATGCAGTGCCAGCATGGATACAGCATCTTCACACAGCATTGACCATCCTCTAATATCAGATAATTTAAGGGCATGCACTTGAAGTGACTGGTTTGGAACACGGGCCCACTGATGCGGCTTTAAGCACTGCACTTTTAATCTTGGTGGAAACTGTGGGATAACGTGACGTTCAGAGATTTGAAGTACTGCTGCAGAAAGAGGCAACGTCGTTGACGTACGTCCAAGCTCAATTTGCAGAATCTCTTTGCTTGTTGCCTCCACAAAAATAGCAGGAAATAGTTTTGTGTCAGGTTCCATTTTAAATTTGTGTGATGTTTCTTTGCCTTCGCATGTAAATGACACCCATCCAGTAGCTGTATCTACAAAACATCCAACAAACATGCCTTGTGATGCTCCTTTTCCTGATGCATCCTGAGTTACCTCATTGTATAATTCATCAGCCCGAACCATGTAACAGCTCTGTCGATCAATTCTGCAAAAAATATGGAACAATTAAAGATTTTTAACAAAAAGAATTTCCACTTAATTGATCTTAGAGTTTCAAAAGCATTCTATCTTCACAAAGCAAATACCTAGTACTAAAATAAAGTTAAACAATTTCATTGAAAACATAATTTGGAAAAAGAAATTTATGATGAATCTTTTTCTTTACCTCAATCGACTTTAGCAGTCCGCGTAACAACATTAAAAAAAAATTGTCCTAAAATAGCAATCAAATATCCATTTGAGTTATGTAATGATTGTGGCTTACTTCTTCCAGTACTAACAAACTACAGTACTAGATCAAACTAAAAGTAACTTTTAGCGAATAAGACATAAGACTAATAGTTACTCGTGTTACTTACATTATTTAAAAAAATATTATGTTTAAATGCTACAGCATGGTTGAAATTAGAATCAAGTTGAAAGACAAAGTTTACCTATTCACAAAACAATGTTTTGATTTAATTCAAGGATGCAGGATTATACTACAAAAAAAAATAATAATCGTGTCCAGCATATTTTTTTAAATTAGATAAGGGTATCTGTTTTGGTAAAGCATATATTTGTATAAATATATGCTTTACCAAAACAGATACCCTTATCTGTTTTGGTAAAGCATATATTTGTATAAATAAATTTTGTTGTTATACGATAAGAAAGTATTACGAAAGCACTAACAATGCAGCACTGGGTCAGGTAGACTTATACCTGAGAGGTCATTAGCTAAGTGGGTATCATAATAGTTTGAAAAGTAAAACCGATACAAAAATTAAGAGTTTGCAGTTAAAAAACTCTCGTTTTTAAAAATTATTTTTAAAAAAATTCATCATGCTTAAAGTTATGTTTGTTGTTAAATCAGTTATACAACATTTATATGATAAGTGCGAACTTTCAAGATCATTCATCGGGGTAGATTGTTTACGCCAAGTTATAATGCTTCCTGGCATATGTACACACCACTGTTTATGACTGGGCATTTTAAGACTTGTGTGCAATTAAATATCTTTTCTTTCATAGATAAAAATTGCAGTCTTAATCACTAATATAATTTTCTGAAACGTAAAGAAGCTTTGACAGTCCTCTAAGACTAAATTCTCTTCACAATGGAGCTAGAGTTATCAGTTGGAACGCTGTTTTCTTATTTGTGACCTTCGTTAATTTCCTCATGAAGAGTTACTTTATGTTCAGTGTGTGGTAGATTAATCTTTTGCTTTTTATGTATATTATTACAATAATCATAGCTGTTTTGTTCCATAAAGTACTCTGTTAGTTTATTTGACTGTCCAGCCATGATTTACTAATATAACAATGCCACTGAAATCAATCAGTGTACTCTTCTATTAAAGTAAAGATAAATCTACATCTTTATTTTCTTGTCAAATTTTGTGTAACATATTTTTGATAGTTTGTATATATATATTTTAGCCAGCCCGTTAAGCTGAATTGTTACAACGTGTTTGAAGTTCCACTTATTTGCGAACTTTTTTAAGGTACTATTGTTGAATCGTTTTCCCAGGTTAGTATACAACTCTAATAGTATTCGATTACGTTATTACATTTTTTTTAAATATAGCAATTCCTGATTTAGCTGCGATATTATGTAGCAGTCTGACTTTAATAAATGTACTATACGAGTCAACTAGTAATGAATAGTTTTCTCCTTTTAGATGAAATACATCAGCAGATAACAACTCCCGAGGACCTTCAGGTATTTTTTTTGTATCATAGGTTCTTTTAAATTTTCGTAGCAAGAGTGTAGACATGTTTTACAATTGATAACCAGCTCTTTAATATGTGTACTGAGTCTTGAACAAAACAAAGTTTTTCTTGCAAACGACTTTGTTTTCTTCATTCCCAGATGCGTACAATGCAACTTACTCAGTATAGTTGCCCTACAAGCCTTAGGAATTACTATACAGGCATTTTTGAAAAGCCACCCTTACATCTAACTTAGCTGTTCTCTAAAAAGGTGACATGGTTAAGCTAATTCATGTTCTTCAAACTTATTGCCAGGACAGCTTTCTCACGTGTATTTTGTGCAACTCTTTGGAACTCTTCGACTGTAGTCTTTTATCAGTTAAGTTAAATCAGTCACTTGAATACCTTCAAATGCTACAATCTTTTCTTCTACCTCTAAAATGTGGTCTTTTAAATAGGATCTACTTTTGTGATCAGCTATCAACATCTTCTAACCTTGTATATATTTTAATTTAAAGCTGTAGAGTTGTAGACTTATAAACATTCTATATAATTTATGAGGGCATTCACTCAAAGGCTTATTAAATATGGCCATTTAAAAATGTGGTCTGTTTCCACTTTAAAGTGTTGACCACATCAATATTGACAAAACTTATCTCAGCCGTGTCATATTGCAAAACATTTTTTCTCTACTTGACTTTCAACTTTCTCAGTTTGTATATTGCTTTATATCCGTAAGCTATAGATTTATTATCTATAGATGTCTAGTTGAAATAAACTTCATATAAATGGAGCGTTTGCTGTCATCAACTGTTGTAAGTTTGTTGTGTGATATGACAGATTTGATGTAAGCTTCCGTACATGGTTGACTAGTCCTAAAAACCTTAGAAACTATTTCCAGATTTGTTATACGTCTATTTTTACAACACTTTTTACTTCCTTTTTATCTACGCTTACGTCATAGTTAACGGACTCACAGCTTTCTATCGGACATTCCTACAACAAAATATAAGTTAAAAAATTATCATAGATTTTCAGGCTTTCATATAACATTTAATTTTTCCGTTAGGTTTGATTTAGTTATTAACTTCTTAACTCACTTAAACGGTATGTGTTTACTGGGTTTGATTTTATTAACTGAGTTTTCCTAAAGTTTAATTATATACTCAATATCTTTAATGTTACCTGTGTTCTATGTAATAAAGCAAGGAGTATTAAAAGTATTCTGTATACATATAAGCTGAGTATGTATGAGTGAAAGCATAGACCTGGATCCGATCGCAAACGAGTGATGAATCAGATTGGCTTAATAAGTGGTAGAGTTCGCACATATAATAATGTAAGTTGAGTAATAAATGAAAAGTTTACATATACTAGTAGGTGCTCTTATTTATTACTTTGTCAATGGCTCCTGACAACCACAGTTATTGTGATATATTACAACTGGGGACAAGGACGAATAACAAGGATTCATGGGGAACTCTCATGTGATGAGCGATACAGAGCTTAGTAAAGAAAAAAAGTAGTTCGAGGGACTCGCTGAACTGGCAGACGATACTACATAGCGGCCATGAGCAAGTAACCGCAACGAGTATTAAGTGAGCTATAAAATCAATTTTAACGGAGAACTTAAGCAGTGTTATGAAGAAAGTACAATCGATAAATGCTAAAAAAGCAGATTTAGAAAACGCAAATAAAAGTAAAGATTTGATAACTGAATCGATTTTATTGAATAAGGCATACCACTAATGTAAAAAAAAAATATTATCAGAACTAAAAAAAAAGAGATCAGTCGTTGACAAGACAGTTTGAAGAGGTATATTACGGAAACATCTGATAGAGATAGTGAGAAATAAGGGTGAAACATCAACCAACAAAAAGGACAACCGCGAAAAAGGAGACAACAAAAATAAGACTAACGCATCATAGGACGAGGAAGATAGCTTGGCGATGGATACAAAAATATTTTTTAATGAGTCAGACGATTTGGATGATTTTACAGAACGATTAGACTTACACATTTTTTTTAAGAAAATAAAGCACGCGAATATGAAGAGAGCAGTATTCATCAGGAGATGATAGGCAATAGACATTTAGACATCACGACTATAAATAGACACGCAACGTTATATAATTTGAGAATTGATGAAATACGTGAAAAACTAACAAAAAAATTTAAAATGTTGTTAAATAATACACCTGGTTTTCACAATAAGCGTAAAATCATAATACACATGAAGCCAAATATCACACCAGTAGTACTGGGAGTGAGGTATGTGACATACGCCTTAAGACCGAAAATAGAAAAAGAAACCCACCACTCCATAAAGTTCGGCAACTTAAAAAAAGTTGAATCGAGTAAACGGGCAACTCCCAATGTATTGCTACTAAAAGAAGACAGTACTGTTTGAATCAGCAGAAATTTTAAAGTCACTCTCAATCCACATTTACAAGAAACTAAGCAAATTCTGGCTAGAACAGATGATATTCTCGCAGTGATGCAAAGTAAGTATCACACAAGTGTTTAACCATGACTGTACATAAAGGTCTATATCAATTCACTGGAATGTTGGAAGGCATAACCATTGCTCCTGATAAATTCGCGCAAATAATGACAAAATGTTTACAAGCTATTTCGAATGATGCCACGCACATCGATATCTTTGTTACGGAAAAAGAAATGATAAACATGCTGAAAACTGGCAAGCAGTGTGTCGAAGGTTATCGCAGCAGGGATTGCAATTAAACAAAAATATATGTGTATTATAAAGAAACTTATCGATTTATTGGGTCTTGTGATAAACAAACATGGGCTACCCCAATCTAAAAAAAAAGTAATCACGAAGTTCAAAGCATCACAATCAACAAACGCCAAACAGCTTATCTCATTTTTTAGAGTTATTAATTTTTATGAAAGATTTTTACGGACAGTCAGCAATGTTATCGCATAACTATGAGGATGATACCAAACGTACGATTGCATTCGCGTTAAAGCGTACTTCAGAAAATAATTTGAATAGAGTAATAAACGACAAGAAAGAAGCAGCAATTGCGTTCGGTTTCATAAAACTTTATAGTTTTGTATGTGCTCGTAAGATAACCTTTTTTATAGATCACAAACCACTTGAATTCGTTTTTAGCCCGAAAAAAAATATACCACATACGGCAGCATCAGGATTGCAACATTAGGAAGTTTTTTATTAGGATTTAACTACAACATTGAATAAATTAAATCGAACTATAATAGTAATTGCAATGCTTTGTTAAGGTTGCCGATTGAGGATGAAATAG